CGATGGGCCTGTGAAAGGAGAACTCTGGAATTCCTGATTGATGAGGAAATATCAACTTGGTGCACTCAAGGACATTCACTCACAGTGACCATGGGGTTTATGAGCATTTGTAACTTTTTATAATTTCATGTTGCATTTCTCATAGTATGGACAACTTTTTGCCACTAACTGGATTCTCCAGATATTCACATCCTGAAGATGTTGAATAACCATTTTACAAAGCAGTTTTCTGAATGGGGATTAGTTGGTGATTGTTTGTAACAAATATGCTAATGCTTTAGAAATGTCAGTATTTTTGTAATTATTTCTACCTCCAAATATATATAAATATATATATTGTCTTTCACTGGATAATGTGTGTAGATTTACATGTGCCTTATTTGACAATGCTTATGTCTTGCTTTTGCCTGTCTCATTTGACATTTTTATTATGTTAAAGAATGCAGCAGTATAGGTTGTTTAGCCTTCATTTTATTGCTATTTGAAGCAGATGTTCACCAATGTCAGTAAGAACTCATCCTGAATCAAAAGGTGGCATTCCATCTACTAACATCCCCAGGTCCTCTTTCTCCTTCTGTTAAAACACATTTGTTTGGCTAGGCACTAAGTTGTTTTCCAGTGAGTAGTAACTTAAGCCTTTCTCCTGCTCTGTGGCTCAATTCCTTCTTTCATTTGCTTACTGCACTTCTGTGCTCATTAACTCTGCTTACTCGTGTGTATAACCATCAGCTTCATCTCCCGCTTTTGCTTCTCTTAACTGTTGCCCAGTCACTTCTGCTCCAGTTCTCTCCCATATTTCCTACTGCCACACACAGATCAGCAAATGCTGGTGACATTTTTCTAGGCAAGAAGAACTTAAAGTTACTTCACTTCAAAAGAGACTGGATGTGACTTCATACTAAGGCAGCATTAGGTACTGCATGGAAATAGGTCATTAACTTTAAATTCTTATCAAAATATAATTTACCAGTTCCCAGGATTTCCAATACAAGACCACCTGAAGAGAAGCCATTGTTCAATTCCAGTTCAATGTAGATGACAAAGTGAAATTTAGAAGTAAAATTGTCTGTTATTTCAGTCTTTATTAACTAACTATTCCTTTAAATTTTGCCTGTCAGTCTATATTGCTGTTTTTACTATACACAAGATTCTTTGTACAACTTGTGAGCTTTATGTGTTATGTTTTTATTATGTAAATATCATTATAAATAAACTTATTTATAAATGAGAGATTTGTTAATTATTGGAGCTCATACTTTTTAAGACATCCTGACTGCAAAGGTGCTAGGCAAGCTGTTAGAAGGTTGATGTCATCATACAGTGCTTTGGTTTTAGGTATCCAAGACTCTGAACTTTTGACTCAATAGATATAATCTTGATACTATATGAATATATCAGATATATATCAGCACTACAGGGCTTCCAGGAATCTGCAGGTGTCAATGCTACCTCCTCCTGATCACAGTACCCAGGCCATTTAGCAAGTGTTGGGAAACGTACCTCTTAAAGCCACAGTGAATTTTTCTTAACTTTTCTGTATGAATGTATCTCCCACGGTAGGCTTTTTTGTTGTGTTGTTATATCCATATTTCTTCTTATGAAATGTAGTTGGATTCTCCCTGTAATATTCTATTATGTCTCGGGTTTAATAAAAGTATTTGTGATCATTAAGTTGTATTTCACACCATTTGTAATAGTTTCTAACCCTCTTTCAATCCTTCCTCATAGATGTAGATAATATTGAGCAGAAATGGGATCATCTTGTGTTCAAGATACAGCTTGGCAATAAATTGGGATTTGTTACTTATAATGACTCCTCACTTGTCCCTGCATCGGGCTGATGCCATTAAACATCACAGCCCATTCTTAACAGAAAACATACAAAAAGCTCTAAGTTGTTTATACCACAACCAATTGAGGGACATGCTTTGTTTGTTCGTTTTTTGTTGTTTTTCTAGACAAGAGTTTCTCTGTGTAGCCCTGCCTGTCCTGGAACTCACTATTGACCAGGCTGAGTTTGCCTCTCCCTCTGGAGTGCTGGGATTAAAGGTGTGTGCCCCCAATGACCAGTATGAAGTAGGTTTTATTTTATTTCCTTAGTACAAGTCACACATGGATAATAAGGATGCCTTATGGGTCTAGGACAGGTAACCCTTGCCAATAGGAGTTACAGAGTGAAGATGTAGATGATCTACCTTCAGTGGAAGTGCTGTATTCATTACTTCTAAATTTTATTTCCGTTCAAGACTGGCTTTAGTGGAATGAAATGTGGAGGCAAATGCCTATACATGTAAGAGGCGCTACCACCTTCATTAAAAGCATTGTTTGAATAGTTCCTTAAGGATTTTTTCCTGTAGACTGTTGTTTCAATCACGTGATGTCTACCTATGCAATGCAATTTTTTATTCTATTAGCAGCTACTGTTAACAAAATTTTATCCAAAAGGTCAAGGTCCTTAGGAAATGCATTTAATGTATGGTAACATACAAGGTTTTTGACCCCACCCCCAAGGTCAAATCAGAACACTGTTCTAAGAAAAGAGCACACCTAGCTAAATAAGTTAAATAAGAGCACACCTAGCTGGACATGTATTTCCTTTCTCCTTCCGTTCTGCCTTCCGCCCTCTCTTTATCTCGGTCTTTCTCTATCCCTCCCTCTCTCCCTCCTCCCCCTTCCCCTCTCCCTCTCTCCTCTGAACTTCATATAGAACGTAAAAACCACCTGCTTTATTAGTATTTCCATGTATTCTATGACATACCAAGTAAATAATATTTATGATGCCAAAATGTGAAGCAAAAGTCTGCATTTGAACAATATAGTTTAAAATAGGAATCGTGTCATGACAACTAAGAAACAGGATTGCAATGAGTTTAAAGGCAGTTTGGCCTAGATAGTACATTCTAGCCAGCCTTGAGATATTGAATGAGACCCTGTTTCAAAACAATACAAAATAAACAGTTGTCAGGGATAATTTAAATATTGCTAATTAGAAGATTCGTTTAATAAAATCAATTGAACTTTGTTTAATGAAACGTATTGTGTGTGAGTGCGCATGACACATTGCTTGAGGGAGGTCTGAGGGCAATTGGGAGAAGTCAGTCTTTTGCTTCCATTATGTGGGTGTCTGGGATTGATCTCTGGTCTTCAGGTTTGACCAGAAATGCCTTTATCCCTGGAGCTATCTCACTGGCCAACAGGATTGTGTTAAAGAATTGCTTTCCACTCTTTGTCTCTTTGCTTCCCACTGTGAAGTAAATAAACAGTTACTTTGTTACACACTGCCCACCATGATACTTCTCCACAGATTCAGCCCAATGAATCCAGCCAACCACCTGGCTGAAGTGTGTGAGATCGAGCCACATAAGCTGTTCCTTCCTTGTAAGCTATTTGTATCTGTCACAGTTTGTCAGTGATAAAAAGCTAACACAGAGTTTTGGATTTTTTCTCAAAGACTCATGTTCATAGCAACACTAAGGAGCAGTCTGATACACTCCTGTCCCCACACCTACAGATTCCCTAGTTTCAACATCTGGTCTCCTATTGGCCACAGTTTGCTTTACAGTTGACTTTCGGTGTTCTGCATTCTGAGTCAATTTATAAATGTAAGGACATGTACCTGTCACTTCGGACATCATCCCACAGAATAGTTGACTACTCCAGGCTGCCCATCTGCCACCACCAATCTTGCCCATGTCACCACTGACCTGGGCAGCTTCTCTTCTGCTGTCCTAATCATTTGGCTTTCCCAGCCTTATCTGTAGTTGGATTCTTTTTGTTTGGCTATGTAATGGCTTGACCATGTTCTGTTCATGGCTCATTAACCCCGAGTAACTATCCCTGGTCTCTATGTGTATTAAGGTTTATTTCTCTATTTCCTGTTGAAGAGATTTTAATTTTTGACAGCTGTATGTAAAGCAGCACCCAACATGCATGTTCAAACTTAGTGTGCACATGCTTTGAGCTTATTTGGGTGAATACCACAGTGTGAGACTATTGGGCCTTTTGTTTCATGGGAAAGTAGGTCTCATCCTGCCATCTTTTGCATTCCACCATCAATTAGTCCTAGTTCTGTTACTTCACTGCCTCTCCAGTGTTTATTTGATGTCTGAGATTTTTACCATTTCTGGTCACTGCTACTAATAATTCCTGGATGCCACTGTTTTGGCACCTCTTCACATGCTCATAGCCACCTGTTTATCTTCTTTAAGTGTCACTTCTTGGCTGACATTTCTTTTTGCGGCTTTATATATTTTCAACAGTTCTTTATCAGGTGAATGTTCTACACTTTCTCCCAGTCTGTGGGTTGTCTTCTCGTTCCACTGATCTGTTTTTTGTTTTGTTTTGTTTGTTTTGTTTTGTTGTTGTTGTTGTTTGCTTTTTTGCTGCAAAGGTTTATTGTAACCCACTGTCCCTTGTCTCTGGGTCACCTAACTTTCTATGTCACACCCCCTTTCTTTGTCAGTGGGCTGAAGCCCCTTTGTCTACAGCCTTCTGAATTGTGGCACTGCTGAATTCACAATCAGCTTTTTTTTTTTTTTCTCTGTAACTTGACTTCTGGATTTGAATAAGCTCCAACATCATTTTCCGTGGCTGTCCTTGAATCTTATGAGTTCCCTCTTTTTAGTACCCAATGTGTGACATGTCAGACATGTATATTTTGGGGAAGCAACCTACACCCTTTGGTGTATACCTGAATAACATGTACAGTGACATGGTTGACCACTGAGCATTATGAGCATTGGTTTTTAGTGTAACTTGTTTATTGAAGGTCTATCTGCAAAATCTGTATTTCACAGGATTTCTTGTAGTCCTGCGGTAATTGACACACTAGCCAGGAAGCTAGCATTTTAACTAAAGCATCCAATGATAATCAATGCAAAGCAGTATGTATTGTGAACTATTTCCTTCTAATTACGAAAACTGTAACATTCTGGAAAAAGTAAAATACTGTAAACTAAATGCCTACAGAATCAAAAACAACAACAAAAGAAATCATAGCAAGCAGAGTACAAAACAGAGAGCACTGGTGGTAGTAAGAAGTGTGGATCATCTGGCAGGCTGATGTTGCTCCCATCTGGTGCTGGTATCAGAGTTTTGTTTGTGGCCTCTTTTGTATCCAGGCAGCAATGGCAGGGATAGTTTGAACTTTCTTGCGCAATGACACCAGCCTCGGGTGGGTGTCCAACAAGTCAGGCTTTAAGACCAAAAGTGTGGTGCTGCAGATATCCCAGTAGAAGTCTGCCCATGTTACCTGCTTAAAGGAAAACAAAGGCTTGCTTTTGACTATAAAAAAAGCTAGCATCGTTCTAAAAGTGAACTTAATTTCTTACTCTCAAGAAACATTTCCCTTGAGTTTCAAAACAACTCTTTGTTAGTACAAAAGCTGACTGTGTATGATAAAATTAGAAAGTGGCAAGCATTACAGTGCCCAAGGGACACTGAGTGAGGGATGCTGTCTGTCACTTGGTATAGGTGCCTCACACAGGCGGTTCACAGCATGCTGTCCAGTGCTACACTGTTTTGAAGCCATGTCCAATCTCCACCAGTCTGACAATACATTTTCAACTGATCTAAAGAATAGATTTCCACCTGTTCCAAAAGTCCTTTGGGGGGCACAGCAGGCTCATTCCAGGTGCGTATATGCCCAGTGTACATACTTTAACTCTTGTCGTGGAGAATAAATAGTGTGATCTATTTTGTATGTCACCATTGTTGATTGCACACCAGCCCTGCAAATATCCTGTCTGGGGATCTGTGATTATTTCATTATGTTGTCTACCTTGTTCCTTTGTGTTTTAAAATATAAAGGAATAGTGTACGGTTTATCCCTCCAGGGTCTCTAATTCCAAGGAAAAGATTTTGGGAAAAAATCCATTCTCTTTTCATCACATTAAGACAAGTAACTATGGGTGTCTGATCCTTAATGGAATACTCAAGTTGGCCAAGGTGAAGCCAAGCCTGCCTTAAGCCTTGCTCAGCTGAGTGTTCTCTGTTTGGCTGAGCTGTCTGTGGAGGGTTATATTGGTTCTATAGCTATATTAGTGAAGTGAAATCTTTTTAATTTTTGCTGGTGGAGACTGTCTGACATAGTAGCGTGTTTTACTGGAACTCCCTCTGAAGATCAGGCTGTCCGGGATTGTAGCATATCTCCCTAAGCCCAGTTACAAAGTGGAATTTAAGTGTGGACTAAGCTTGCTTGTGTGTGCATCACTTATTAGAGCTGGTTGCTAGTGCTCCACAAGTTTGCTGTCATCTAAGAGAGGTTGATGCTAAGGGGATTTACAGTTTGCTAAGAAATATTTATCAAGCACCTGTGTGTCATACCCACTTCCAGGTGTTAGAGATGACAGAGAGCAAGCTGGGATGCAATGCCCTGTTCTGATGCAGATTTGCTTGTTTTTTTTTTTTTTTTTTGTGCTGTGGATCACATTCAGCCTTCAAACGCCACTGAACCTCATCCCCAGTCTGGGATTTTGTTATAGAAAAGAGCAATGGGAGTGAAACCAGTGATGAAGGAAAAGTGGAGTGACTAACATCTGCGGGACAACCTCTAAGTGGTGATGTGTATTTAAGCCAAGTGTCCAGACGTGGCTAGCTTAGCAGCCTTTGCTGGGAGTGTGACATGTCCAGTTCAGAGCACAGTGGAGACCAGGAGAGAGTGAGTGTTCCGAGATGGGGATGGAGGTGGTTTGCAATTTAATAGGAATAAAAAAAAATCAGTTTCTACAAATACTCAGAAAATATGCAAGGGAAAGGAGTGTTTAGAAAAGGAAAGTGGGAAGTGATGGGCTGTGCAATGCTGAAGAGATGCAGGGACAGGGTAGACTGAGCAGAGCCACCCAAGCCACAGACAGCCGCACCTTTTTTCTTCCATGCACAGTAGCCCAAAGGGCTTGGAAACCCCACCCGGCACAGCACTGAGGTCAGTTAGGTGTGATTTGGGTGGAGTATGTTCCTGCTCTGAAAGCCCGCTGGTAGCATCTGGCCATCGTCCCTCTGATATGGGTGGTTTCTTGTGGCCACTGGCTGGGCCTGTCGCTTCTTGGGGTTGGAAAGTGATGATATTGATTTCTAGTCCTCTTTTTATGACTAGGATACTTTTCTGATGAGAAATGTGTACTGCCTGCATAGGAAAGGTGGGGCAGATGCCTCTGAGCTTCTCACACTGCTGTCTGTTCTCAAGAGTTTTCAAGATAGGTTCCGTCTCTACACCAAGCAAGGGGCTCGGTTGGGAGCTGTGTTGTATGTTTGGATATAGCAGAAGTTATCATAAGCTCCTCTATTTGTTTTGACTTGCTTTAATTTGCTTCTGTTAATATTCTCATTGAAGCCTGTATTGCCCTATCTGTAGCTATTCTCAGGCTGACTGTCTGAATCATTGTAATATAAAAAAATTACAAATGGCATTTCATTTGCTTCTAGTAGGAAAAAGCCTTCACTACATTTCTTTTCTCAAACCAAGAATAAGTCATTTGTCCATGAATTGCCAGTTCTATTCAGTGGGTATAAGGAATACTCGTGGTGACTGGTTATGTTTGTCTGCTTCTCTTCCACACCAAAGAGCCTGCTTCTTGGTAACATCAGTGTGATTTCCAATTACTGCTCTCCCATGTGCAAATCATAATAGCATTAAAACAATACCAGCAGTGCCCAGAAGTGCTAATAGTTCTACAGAAAATGGCATGGATTCGTTTTTCTGAGATTCCTATCATGAGTCACATTGCCATGCCTTGTATTAAAGGTAGTTCTTAGAGTCCTTTGATATTGGGACTACAGTTGGTAAAATGCTTGCTGTGCCAGCATTGTGAAGAGCTAGTGAGAGCCCTAGAATTCATGTATAGAAGCTGGGTGTGGTGGCACAGGCATGTGACCCCGGCACTGGGGAAGCAGAGGCAGGAACAACCCTGGTAGTCATTAGACCAGTGGGCCTAGCCTGACGGGTGAGCTCCAGGCCAGTAAGGGATCCTGTCTCAGAAACCAAGGTGGACAGTGTCTGCGGAACAATGTCTGACGTCAACCTCTGCCCCGCCCCACAGATCCCCACACACTTGTGCACATGTACACACACATTCACAAAATAATGCAGAAAGTAGTTTTTATGTACTCTTAAGGTATGTGACACAGATTTATTCCCTTACTTTTGATTTTTAGGACAACTTTTAAAAATTATTGTATATAATTATATAAAGTACTTCATGACTTCAAGTCAGATATATAAAGAGTTAGTTTAGAGAAGTTTAGTGGGTTTTTCTCTCTCTACCATAGTTTCTGGGTAACTATCTGCCACCCCGTTCTTTCTTTTTTTCCTTTTTTGAGACAGGGTTCATGTAGCCCAGGCTGGCCTCAAACTCTCTATACAGCCTCTCATGTACTGGATAACAGGTATGCACTATCATGCCTGGTTAGAATAACATTTTGCTCGGTAAGTTTTTAGTTTATCTAAATATAACTGTTGGCATTTTAAAACAAAACATACTCACAGAGTTACCAATAAACCACTCTTTGTCCCCTAAGTATGTGTCCAAATCTTTCAGAAGAAGAGGTGCGTGACATGTAAGCAGCTCCTTGAATGTCCGTTCCTAGGAGAGAGAACATCCTTTTGAATGACCACAAAAATAAGTGTAATCTGAACAGCAAGTTAGAAGGGATTAAAGTAGCCATGCTTGTATTTCTTGGTAGTTAGAAGCCTATAGAGACCCAGACCTGACTCTGCCAATTATAACTCAGGTTTTTAAGTTAAATTATTTTTTGGGGTGCAGCGTGTGTGTATCCATGTGCCACAGAGCCTGTGTAGAAACTAGGAGGCAACTTTCAGGAATCAGTTCTCTCTCTCCACCATGTGAGTCCCAGGAATGAAACTCAGATTTTCATGTATAGCAGAAAGATAGCCATCTCACCAACCTATCACTCATTTTAAAATATTTCTTTCACCAGTTTCATTATGTGTTTTCATTGCCTGTGATGTTATGTTTCACAGGGTGGTTTTATACAAATGCATATATACATGCACACACACATAAACACATGCATGCCACATTTTCTGCATTCATTCCAGTGTTTTAGACAGGTTGCTTCTATCATTTGTTTATTGTATTTGAACAGTGACCATAAACAATGATGAGCAATTGTCTCTGTGGTGTGTTATGTGGCTGCCTTTGGTAAATACTCGAGAGGTTCATAGGCAAGTCATGGTAAATCGGGATTTGGTTTTATGAGAAAACCCAATGATTTTTCATCTTAGTTTACTGTAATGAAAGATGATTGTATTTTTAGATTTCGGAAATCCCCTTTTAACATAGGGCCCTTGAAGTCATGTGACTTAACTGAGGGAAGTGGATGTGCTGCGTGGACACTCTGCTTCTGCTTCGTGTTCCTTCCCTCATTATTGCCCCTAATGGGTGTGATAGGCCATGGTGATTCATGACACCCATGGGGCCTTAGCATGAGCATGTCTGCCTTGCATATTCGGGTAGCCAAATAATAAATACTCATAATAAATTCAAGGGCAGTCCTAGTGACCAATGTTCAGAGACTGTTTCCTTTAATCCTTTAAAATTGGAAATGGGCTCTTAGCAACAAATATAGAATTATCAGCAGTTGTTATATTCAAGCATGTATTGGAGCACATATAATGACAATATTCTCAGTGAGACTTGTATGGCAGCCCACACTTGTAATCCCAGCACTCAGAAGGCAGGGGCAGGAGGGAGGGCTGCTAAGCCAGCCTGGCCTTCATAGCCAGACTCCATCTCAACAAAAACAATGGACTACCATCTTACTGCAGTTATTTGCCACTTGACCACAAGGTGGCAGCAACTGACCCTGCTGCCCCAATAGTGTAAAACTGAAACTTTTTGTTGATAGCATCGTCGATAACTGTTGTCAGAGCCTCTGCAACATTTTCTTTTGCATAATTTGTTCCTGAACCTGGGCTTCTATATCTTCTGAACTTGGTTTGAGGTACGTTAGAGCATCGACCACTGTGTTACTCACAAAGCTAGAGTATTATCACTGAAGGCCAGAGATAGTCTCCTCTGGGATGTGTCCTCTGTCGTGGATCCTCAGCCACAGAAAGATAGAAAGTAGAGAGAAAGGCAAGATGAGAAGGTGGCAGACTGATGAGCAATGAGGTCTTTGGCATGCTGAACAAAAATCTTCATACACTTTCTTTTCATATTTGGGGAGAATGATGTGTTTGTGTGTTTATAAGGATATGTAAACTAGACATCACACCTGACAAACAGAAGAGCAATTTAACCCAACTCTATAACATCTTAATAATAGCTGATGTTGAGTAAACACTTTCAACCCTGTCATGTGTATATGGTGTCACCGAAGCTCTCAACACGCTTCCAAGGAGAGTCCCTTGTATCTGTACTTCACACTCACGGAGTTTGAACTGTGAAAGGGGAAGTGTCATGGTAGGAGACAATCTGATTCAAGCCCATCAGAAGACTCCAGAGCCCAAATATATTATGTCAGAAAGTCTTTTTACATTTATGTCATCAAAGCTGAGCTTTTCAAGGATTTGTTCTCTCTCTCCCTCCCTCCCTCCACCCTCTCTTTCTCCTCTCTTTCTGAAAACATCCCTAACACACCTTATTTATATAAATATGTTATGTCCAAATATCTCCAACCAGAAGATCCTAACAATATAAATAGTATTTAAAATGCAGGTGTTTAAGTAAAATGATGAGAGTCACATCGATTGTTCTGGGCTGTGGCTTTTGGACTTGGGCTGTTCCTTTAATTTATACTTCCTATTTGTACAAAGTGTTTAGGGCAGCGGTTGGTACTGTGACATTCCACGGAGGAGTTAAGACTGTGCAGTCTGAGAGAGACCTCGGCTCTCATTCCTTTCACTTGGGTCTTCCTGTCCTCACCTGGGCACTAGCCCTGTGGCAGTTCCAGACTTACTCCTGCTGTAGCGGCCAAGCTCTCTGTGATCAGACCATGGGTTCTGGAATTTTGGCTGGTGGACCCAGGTCACATTCTTACACTTGTCTGACTCTGAGCACCTTCCAAACTCCTCTGGCTGCTGCTTCATCTCGAAAGACAGCCTTTCCACTGGAGAGAGCATGTCAAAGGGGACAAGAGCATCCCCTGGCGGTAGGATCTGATAATGCAGGATCCTAGTAATGATTAGCGTCTGCCGTTAGAGGGCACTGCGACAGTTGGTTAAATAATAAAACCTGTTGTCATTTCCTGTGAAGTAGTCATGTGACAACTACATTTTAAGGTGAGATTGTGGCAAGTATCCCAAAGGAAGGCACTAATAAAGGAACTGGATGAAGGTGACGGATATGACACACATAAGCTTATTTCTATCCCAGTTCAATATTAGTGCACATGCTTTCCGAGATTAAACCTATGTAGAGGCAGGAAAGAGGAGAGAGGATGAGAGCAGAAGAGTTTGCAGCTGTAAAGGTGAGTGGGCAGACCAGCGTGGGAAAGCCTGAAGCTAACCTGTGTATAGTCACGAAGCAGCCTGGAACTGAGCGGCCGGAAGCTGAGACTGGTGGGAACTGCCAGAGAAGCAGTTTCCAGAGGCTTCTCCTTCATTTCAGGCTAATGGACAGGATCCCATCCGTCTCTACAGGAGGCTAGAGGGGGCTAAAATAGCTTCCAGGACAGAGGGTACCATGAAAAATGTATGAAGAATAAAAGAATGGGATGGGTATATTCACACCGGACAGTAAATTGTGAAGCCACAAAGCGTTTCTTCCCACTGTCTCTAGATGAGTTTTCTGTCTCTAGATCAGTTTTATGCACCTCTTCCCACTGTCTCTAGATCAGTTTTCTCTGGGCACTCTTCCCATCACAACAGCAGACACTGGGAGCCAGGGACGCTGGAAGAACCCCCCAAAGTAAAGTGACATTCAGAATTAATAAGTTATCTGCATCTGCACGGCTTCACACAAACCACAGTCCTTCTGTCCACTGTGGATTCTAGAGGATGGCCTAACCCCCAACAGGGACTATAGCAAACTGGAAGTGCAACAACTTTGCCCAGACAAACAATGGGCGGGTAGAAGACAGTGTATCCATAAAATAAATAAAAACCACCCCATGAGTAAAACAAAGCATTGTACAAAAAGAACCCAGAGATGTGACAGAGATGTGACACTCCCAGTGTCCAGTGAACTGGGAGGCAGTAGATGTGCTCACGCTGCTTTGTATACATTATGAAATTGTCAAGAAATAAAAGATATTCTATTTAGAAACCTGACAAATTTCAAAAGGTGAAAATTTAGAACTCAGGTTGAAGATGTCCTGAAAACACAAAAGCAAAAAACATGAGAGGCAGAAAAGATCTTAGCCTCTCAGCAAAAGGGGTTCGTGACAAAAAATGAATAAGTAGATAAATAGGGAGAGGCCAGTGAAGAAATTCTGAGAGAATTCAAGGCTATTTCTTTGACTTTTTCAAAGGACGTCTTGAACTGAATGAGCCCATTTAGTTGATGCCAGACTGGGAGGTTGGCTCAGTTGATAAAGATGCTTGCTGCTCAAGCATGGGGACTTGTGCTTGGATCCTGTCTTCATCAGGGTCTGTTGCTGTGAAGACACACCATGACCATGGCAACTCTTATAAAGGAGAACATTTAATGGAGGCTGGCTTACAGTTCAGAGGTTTATTATTATTGTCATGGAAAGAAGCATGGCAGCATACAGGCAGGTACAATGTTGGAGAATGAGCTGGGATCTCTACATATTGTTCCTCAGGCAGCAGAAGGAGACTATGTGCCACACTGAACATAGCTTGAGCATACGAGAATTCAAGGCCTGCTCCTAAAGTGTTTCACTTCCTCCAACAAGGCTGGACTCCCTAATAGTGCCACTCCCTATGGACTGAGTATGCAAGCACATGAGTTGGTGGGGGTCATTTCTATTCAAACCACACTATAGGTCCCTAATGCCCATGGAGAAATCAGGCTGTAGCCCAGCACTGTGGAGCAGAAATGGGAAGGTGTGTGGGCTTGTTGGCCTGTCACTCTAACTGAATTGGTGAGCTTCAGATTCAATGAGTGTCTCTGTCTCAATAAGTAAGCTGCGAAAGGATTGAAGAAGCAACTGGACATTGATCTCTGATCCACGCAGGCGTGTGAACACATATGTGCATTTAGAAACACATAAGAAAGAAAACAAGATGGTGCCCAAACTCACTGTTTTATTTCTTTTCTATATGTATCTCTATATTTATTTATTTTTGTGAGATAGGCTCTCAATATGTAGTCTTGGCAGGCCCAGCCCTTCCTAGGTAGACCAGGCTGGCCTGGAACTCATAGAGATCAACCTGCTTCTGCCTCCAGGGTTCTGGGATTAAAGGCATGCACCACTATATACAGAAATACTCCTCATTTTAAACAGTTAACTTAAACTTGGCAACAGCTGATAGCCTGTAGTGTCCTCAAATGCTAAAGACACATCACTTGCCACATAGAATTCCTTACCCAACTCTCTTAGGGTTTCTACTGCTGTGATAAACACTATAACCAAAAACAAGTTAGGGAGGACAGAGCTTATTTCAGTGTACAGCTCTCAGGTTACACTTTGTCACTGAGGGAAGTCAGGGCAGGAATCTGGGAGCAGGCACTGAAGCAGAAACTGAAATAGTAGAAGAGGGCTGCTTACTAGCTTACTCCTACGGTTTTCTCGGTCTGCTTTTTTATAGAAGCCAGGACCACCTACTCGGGAATGCCCCACCCACAATCGGTTAGGCCCTCCCCATGGATCACTAATTAACAAAATGCCCCAATGCATTGCTTGCAATCCAATCTTATCATGGCAGTTTCTCAATTGTGGTTCCTTCTTCTTAGACGACTCTAACTGGTGTCAAGTTGACAAAACCAAAACCAAAAACCAACCAAGACAACCCTGAAACTATGCAGCCAGGTGAAAATTAAATTGAAAGAAGTTGCAAGCTAATAAAGCATAAACTTTTGGATTGCTGTGATCAGTGAAGCCAATGGTGAATTGTTTCACAAACATAAGAGCACAAAATAGAGACCGAACCAGGAAAGGGCCAAAAGAAACACTTAGGATGTGAATGAAAACCTCAGCATGGTAAGTGTGTACCATGCGTGTAGGGGAACCAAACCTGACTGGAGCAGTAACTCAAGATGGAGAAGTCCATACGCCTTGTCACCATCACACCTTAGTGATGTAATCTTTGAAGTACTAGAGGGCATTCTCAAAAAAAAACCAAAAAAAAACAAAAAAACAAACAAACAAACAAACAAACAAAAAACAATGACATACACACGAAAGTGGGCCTCACCCTGGAAACAAGAGTCAACCCCAGAAAAAAGGCCTGGCTGGGTGAGTTGTGACAGGAAGGCCTGAAACAATGACTCTGTAGAAACCCACAGAACTTCAGGGCAGGGGTGGCCTCCAGGCCAGAGAGTTCAGCAAAACACCAGAAACACTGGAAAAAGAAGGCAGGCTGATAGCATTGACTTGGAGGGAAATTCTACCAGACACTGTGGAAAGTTTCTAGAAAAAAAATAAAAAAGTAAAATGAATTAGGCAAAAGTCAAAACCCAGTCCCTGACTTTGAGGAGAAACAGAAAAGGAAGTATCACCGAGATACACCACCATGTGCTGTCTGTTTGTATTTGCATATGCCAACTATGTAATCTTAGAATATTAATTTAGCTCAAAGATATTAATATTACCACATTGAGAACTTAGGGAAAAGGAAGCAGAGAAGATGACAAAGGAAGAGATAAATTCCCAGCTAGATGTGGTGGTTCACTTCTGTAATTCCAACACTTGGGACCACCAGGAATTTAAGGTCATTCTCAGCTACATAGAAAGTTAGAGGCTAATAAAAAGGGGAAGAGACAAATTCTTACAGATTCCATAAGAAGTCTGTAAGAACTGTCTTAAAATTGTTAAATCAAACTATATATTTTTACATGCTACCAAAATATGATGGTACACATTCTACAGTCTACATAATGATTCACTATTTCAGAGAGAGAGAGAGAGAGAGGGAGAGAGGGAGAGAGAGGGAGAGAAGGAGAGAGCATGCTCATTGGTGAGATGGTTCAGCAGGTAAAAACACTTGCCACCAAACACAATGATTTGAGTTCAATCCCAGGCATCTACATGGTAGAAGAGAGTTGACTCCCGTACGTTGTCCTATGATCTCATATCCATGGGATCACTTGCATGGGTATGTACAACATTACCCATGTGCACACAAACTTTTAAAAAGAGAAGAAAATAATGGAAGAAAGGAAAGTGTGCTTGTCCCCAGAAAATAGCAGAAAGCATTAAAAACCGGATCTGTTGGGCTGGACGTGGCTCATGGCTGACAGCACTCGCTGGTCCTGCAGAGGTCCTTGGTTTGTTTCCTAGCACCTACACAGCAGCTCTCAACCATCTGGACCTCTGGTTCCAGGGAATCCAGACCATCTTCTGGCCTCTGCAGGGTCTTGCATGTACAGGGCACACCTACATTCTCAAAGGTTCACATGCATAGACATTTTTAAAAAGTATTTGAGGCAGGGTTATCTCAGAGTATGGCAGGAAATCATTGACCTTGCCTTATAGTTTAGTACAACTTCCTTTTCTAAAGTACATATTACATAGATTAAAACACTGTAATGCAGTTTCTGAAGGTGATACAAGGTTACCCATACTTATGATAGTAAACTTATCACATTACTTTTACATCTTGATTTTTCTCTGCCCATGGAAAAAGTGACATGAAATCATCCAGTGTGTCCACAATAGCATCAGCTTGACATTGCTCCAACTCTGTCTTCCCAGCCAGATCTATGGGATAGAAAGAGGCCATTTAGTATCTACTGACATGCTCAATTTAACTTACTATTAATGTGTCAACTAGGCAACATATTCATACTTAAAAAATGCAAATAGTGTAAAACAGAGGTTGGTGGTGGAGCTAGGAGAAAATTCTAGAAGTTCATTCCCCATTCTTCTTCGTACAGCTTGAAAAACATCTGGGAAAAATGTGGTTCCAGCTTTCACCATAAAGTTTCAACTTTAAAAATGATAGAATGTCTTAACCCTGGAACAAGAAAATGCCTCGACTGAGACTCAGTCTCAAGACTGTTAAGGGTCTCACCATGAAGGTGAATATGAGATAACAATGACATCTGCAGCTGAACCCTGGGAGCTGGAGCTCCTGATAGTGAGATACACCCTGTGGTTAAACCGTCTGAGGTTATGATGCCTTCTGTTTGTTGGATGGCACATTCTTCCCAGTAGCCACATTTGCTTCAAATGGAAAAATTTTCTTAAAGAGGAAAGCTAGGCTCAAGAGACTCCAGAGTTAAAAAAAAAAAAAAAAAAAAAAAAAAGAAAGAAATTGAGAAAAGAGAAAAAAAGAATCACAAAAATTTGCAAGATCCTTAAGACAACTTTTTTCTTTAATTTTAAATTTTATGTGCATGAGTGTTTTTCTTGCTTGCAATCAAGTGCACCAAATGCCAGTAGTTCATTGCATTCTCTGGAACTAGAGTTACAGACAGTTGTGAGCTGTCTGTATGGGTACTGGGAACCCAGCCTGGGTTTTCTGGAAGAACATCCAGTGCTCTTAATTGCTGAGCCATCTCTCCAGCCCCAGTTTCCAAGATCTTCAAAGCCTTCAATAGATAAAAGAGTAAACAGTGGCTGGAGATTTTTTTCTTTTACATTTTTCACTCATTTGTTAATATTTCTTTCTAGTAATTTCTAAATAATTTTGTCCAAGTTGCTGATCTTTCTAAACTTTTCTTCAATGGTGTCAATTTAAAATGACTCAGTATGAAAGTCATTTTATGTAACTGCATTAAATTACTAAGCACAAGGAACCCTGTGCTGACAATGCACGGCTCATATAAACAAAGCCTTAGTGAAGCTTTTCAGGGTGAAGGAATGTGTTTGCTTCATGTACTTGTAACTTTCTGTGTGATGTCCAAGGATTGATTCTCCCAATTAACCGAAAAAGCATGTCACAGGCCCCTCACTGTCTATCAGCCCCGGTTTGACCGCTTTGTTCTAGGCTTTAGCTGTTACTTTTGTGCAGCTAATGCCTCTGTGGACATTCATTGTCCTAAACTGCAAGCACCACTCAGGCCCCTTTGCAAATGTTTGGAGCTATTTTCCCTCCTGAACTTCTGGCATCAAATTACACAGACACCACACCTCCAACCAACTGGTCTTTTTACATTCCAGCAGATCATGGTTCCTACTGTGAATCGGCCCCACTGGAGCCCCAGTGTGTATTGAAAGAGAGAGACTCCTTGCATGCCTGGCTCCTATGGCTGGCAAACCTAATAGGGCAAGGGGTATTGCAAACTGAGGGAAGTCTTTACAAAGAACAGAGAGGGAGAAGACTGGAGGGGTAGTGGGTATCCCCAGTGCTTTGAGAATAACAACGCCTGCCCACTGTGCTCTTTTGCCCTTCCCTGTGGCCCAGCCCTACAAAGGTTATGTATATTTTCTGAGAGTCTCCACACTCCTCTTTCTGATGTCATCTAGACTATTTCAAAGCCCTCTAATGTGTGTCCCACAGTCAGGCCAATCAAGAACTATCACCAGAACAATTGTTCTGCCGTCAGACCTCCCAATGTGCTGCCTCTCTGGGTGACAACCTACAATTGTTAGGGAAGTCCATACCCTGGATTTCCCAACCAGGTGCAGTGTGTTTTGCTAAGTAACGCTCCTTCTCTACTCTGCTAGTATGAAGGTTTTGCTTGTTTGGTTTTCTTGTGCCTTTTTCTCTCTGCTTGTAATGTTGTAATCAGTGAGTCTAAGTGAGGTCCATTTGCCATCTCAATATTATCTGGGAAATCCTTAATAATGCAAACTTTTCAGGGCCCTCCTCCAACCTCCTAAATCAAATCTGGAAGCAAGCAAGGAAGAGTGGATGTGTTCCAGGAAGCCCTGAGGAGACCTTGATGCTCTTAAGAGTGGAGGTCTTGGGTATCCTCTGAGGCTTGACTCAAATACCCCTTTCTCTTCCAAGCCCAACTTCCAGAGATACACTCCATCTCCGTTGACTCTTCTCAAACCTTCATTGTTGAAATATCCGTTAGTTTTTGTGTGCTTAAACTTTCAAAATTTATTTTATCTTACGTGTATTAGTTTACCCTCTTGTATGCAAGTATGTTTACCATGTGTGAGCCTGGTGCCCACAGAGATCAAAAGTCATTATCAGATCTCTTGGAACTGGAGTTACAGATAGTTGTGAGCCACCTTGTGGATCCTGGGAACCGAACCCAGGCCCACTGCAATAACAACAAATACTCTTACTGCTGAGCCAAGTCACCAGCCACCTTTTGTGTTTAAAATAAACGTCTTTGTTCCTAAAATGGTAGCCTAACCATTATGGGTCACTTGGGTGCTCAGCATGCTTGGATCAGAAGGTGGTGGCAGAGGGGCGGAAGGAAAAGGCTGGGAGTGGAAGACGGTGATTCTGCCACACTCATTAAAAAGAAAAAGGCTGGAAAAGAAAGCCCAAGTTGTCTTTTTACTAAAAGTATTTTTAAGTGGGAAGAACAGGAAAGGGGACGTAGGAAGGGGAGAAGAAGGCAGGGGCTACCTCTGTGACCTGAACCCACTTCATGGGTTAAGGAGGCCTCAGAGGAGGGCCGGCAGAGGCTGGGATGCCACCTTCCTGTGCTTCTCAGCATGATCAGAATGAAAGACGACGAATTATAATTCCAACAGTCCAACAGGCTCCAGCCTTCATGTGCTGTATGTATTTCTGCCTATTTCTGTCTAAATCATAATATTCGATAGTAGCGTGACATACCAATCCAATTTTCCAGCTAGATTCGAGAAATGACAGGATGGCAATGTGGGTGTGATACAGGAGGGAAGGGCACGGTATAAAGTGAGATGACGTGCTCTGGTGTGGCAGCATCTGCCTGCCATCTAAGCACGGGGTAGGCTGTTACAGAAGGATCGAGGATTTAAGGACACAGTAGGTTATATAGCAAATACCAACTAAACCAAAACTACATAGGAAGTCCCTTATATAAAAATATAAAATAACAAAATAAATTAGCTATCTAAAGCATTCACAGAAAGCTCTACTGATGTAGATGGTACATTTATAATGTTGTAATCTTCAGAGCTATTCCTAATTGGACCATAGCTAAACAATGCACTTATTAAACAAATGTCAAAGAAACATCATGATTTTTTTTTCAGTTATCCAAAACCTTAACTACGATAAGTATATTACCTGTGTTTTTAGTCAAATATCTTGCTATTGCGAGACTCTGGTGAAGGGTAAGTCCTCCCACCTCCAAAACAGGGATTTTGCCAAATGGAAGAGCTAAAACAGAACAAGTGAAGAGTCAGCTTCAGAACAGAACTGAGAAGGTTGAGAGAAGCCTGGACAATAGAAACAAGGTATCATATAAGGTCATGAAAGTTTTAAATATAGAATTACATACATACATATTCATAAACTTAAAAATATACTTACTTTATGGAGCACTATATTGTGGCCCCAAGTTACAGACATCGTGTGGTTATTGTTCCACAGGACAAGTGCCTTCACGAATTCCAGCAGGTGGGGTAGGTGTTAGGGTAGGTATACTGGGTGGTTTTGTGTGTCAACTTGATAAAAGCTATAGAGTCATCAGAGGGAGGACCTTTAGTTGAGGAAATGCTTCCTTTAGATCTGGCTGTAAGGTATTTTCTCAATTAGTGTTTAATGGTGGAGGGCCCAGCCCATGGTGGATGGTGCCATCCCTGAGCTGCTGGCCCTGGGTTCTATAAGAAAGCAGGCTGAACAAGCCAGGGGAAACAAGCCAGTAAACAACTCCCCTCCATGGCCTCTGTATCAGCTCCCATCTCCAGGATCCTGTCCTGACTTCCTTCAGTGATAAACACAATGCTGAAGTGTAAACCTAATAAATGCTTTCCTCCCAACTTAATTTTTTTTATGGTGTTTTTGTCACAGCAATAGAAACCCCAACTAAAACAGGAGGGCAACCCAAAGCCCAGGATGTAGGTTTGGATGGTAGTTGAGCTGGTCAGTCCAGGCCATTGGGACCACCCCCCTCAGGTGAGGGCAGAGCCAGTTTGCCTAGGCCTATAACATCTAGGCTGTCTCTCCCTAGCCAGCTCTCCTATGGGTGTGTGTATATGGGAAATGGGGATCAGTTCTCCTGCTATAGTGTCCATCGAAGGTCAGGGCCAGCTACTTTTATTTGTTGTGTTATGAGTGTTTTGCCTGCATATATGGAAGTACACCATGCGTGTGCAGTGCCTTTGGAGGCCAGAAGAGGAAATCAGGTCTCCTAGAACTGAAGTTAGTTGTGAGCCACTATGTGTGTCCTCTGCAACAGCAGTAACTGCTTTTGATAGTGAGTCACCTCTCTACCCTCATACTTAATTTTGGTTAATACCCGTGTTTTAAAGCTTCATTAATTTCATAGTCTCAAAATAGGTCACACGAGTTACTATAAAACATATCCCAACAATTATAGAATTTGACTCACACATGGGCTAAGGAAGTTTTATCCTAGTCTTATTTTGACAAAGAACATTGTGGAGTAGATAACAAAAGACAGAAACACTTTGTACGTATATAAGACAGCCATGGTAGATAACATTGATACTATATCAGTAACTTCCATTGTTTCTTACTTGAACTTGTTTTGTGAGAAAGCAATATACTTTTATTATAGAAAATTCACAAAATTTAAGCAGAAATATTTCTACCTGGTAACTATAGTGTAGTGTTCTAATTAATTTTCCATATTGTGTTAGTTCATCTTATCAACTTGGTTAAATTTCGAGATGCCTACATTAGCACTCACACCTTGGTTAGAGTGAGGGATGCTTGTATTAGCACTCAACACCTATCTGTGAGGGTCTTTCCGCAGACATCAGATCATGAGTCTATGATCCAGTGAACAGTTTATTCTATTGACTAATGCCAGTTTCAGATGCATGTTTCGAGGTGGATGTGTGGGAGGCAAGGCCTTGTGGGAGGAAGCAGGCTGCTGGGAACCTGCTTTTCATCTTGGTTGTCTCCCTTTTGATTTCCCCCTGATCCCAGTTCCCACATGATGAGCAGCTCTGTTCTATGACACCCTTGCTACCACATTTCTTTCTCCAGGCCCCAATCAGTGAGAAATCTGCATGGAAACCTCTGAATACATCCTTCCTTCTGTACGCTTCCTCATTTCTGTCACAGCCATGAAAAACTAATATAAATTTATTCTTTTTTTTAAAAAAAACATAAATGCATGTGATGTTATTTATCAAAGTTCCTTTTTTTCACTTCATGCTATCTTTGAAGTCTTCTGAACCAATGGATCACCATCATTTCAGTGATCATGAGGTGATTCATCATGTGTATTGACTACAACTTCCCAAACAATTGAAGGTACCAGCTCCCCTTTCGGCAGCCATAACGGCCGAACACGTGCTTCTATGACCTTGTCCTAGACACTAGAAAGTCAGATGCCTGCCTCGTGACAAGGAACCAATCAGAAGTTAGCTGGTGGCGCTATGCTTTACGACCCTGGGTGTGCTTTATGGACAAGCGCACAGCAATGACGCACAAAGCATAGCAACCACCCTGGGAGGGCCTATGGGACATATCAACCAATTGACCAATCAACACAGGGCAAGCCCTCCAAGCCTGGAGGCACACCAATCGTGAGCCTGTGCATACCCCTAGACACTCCCCTTACGCTGTCCTATAAGATCTCTTGGGAGGCCCTAGGAGCTGTCTTTTGCTAGCCATCCTTCATGGCAGGTGGGGGAAAGACCAGAGCTAACATGGGGGTAGCTCGTTAAATTACAATAAAACCTCGTGCCGTTTGCATCAAGCTCTCGAATCTGCCTGGTGATTGGGGTGCCCGAGGTCGTGGCCTGGGATCCCGGATACCTGAGTTTTCCGGGGGTCTAACACAATATCTTGGTTTGGGCATATAATTGTTTTGATAAGAAGTAAAAGAATGAAGATCATAAGTTATCTACCTCACATGAGGACCAGAACCAAGCCTCTGTAATACAGCCAATAAGAACCAAATCAACTTCCTTCTTTCTTTCTTTCTTTCTTTCTTTCTTTCTTTCTTTCTTTCTTTCTTTCTTTCTGTCAATTTCTTTCACTTTGGGAAAAAACACAGCTTTGATTACTGACCCAGTGAGTAAACCAAGTGCTGCTCAAAGCCCAGAGCTTCTGTGACCAGGATGGAGTCCTGAATAAAATGGACATGAACTGATTCATTTGAAGCACACATGTAAAGAAGCGAGAGGTGACATGCAGAGCTGGAAAGGGAACAACCAGACTGAAAGTGTAACATGCTCACCAGTCTTCAAGCGCTCAACCCTAAAAGATGGATGTCAACTACAGTCTCATTTTATCAACAAGGAAATGATGTGGGGGGAGGAGTTTATGTAAATTAGCATGTAAACTACCTCTTGGTAGAGATGGTATTCAAACTGAGGTCAGTTGCCCAGCTGTTTCTACAGTTCTAGTCATATATGAAGAAGAAAAAGACCAGAGCAAGCCTAGAGAGCAGTAGGGATCTGTTGACTTTGCGTGAACTACTGTTGCTCAATGTGAAGCTCTGAAAGATAGGGCTTGCATTTCTGAGGGGAAGGATGAAAACCCTGAAACACATTCTGCTGGCAAAATCTGAATGATTTGTGCTACTTACTTGGTTTGATTTGGGGCCAGTCAGCTAGTTCTATTCTGTGATCTTCATACTTTATGTCCAAGTAAGCAAATATATAACGAATAATTTCTGCTCTCCCCCTCATATTGAAATAAATCAGTTTGTAGTTTGGCATGGTACAATTCTGGAAAAAAAATACATTGAGGTAGCATTTTTTTCATTTTTTAATTCTTTGACAGTTTCATTTGTGTATGAATATATAATGAATTTTGGTCATTCATCCCAGTTACTCTCTTGCATCCCCTTCCTTCTTTCTTTCCTGCTGAAACTGTTGTTCCCAACGCAGCTTGAATTCATTGGTTGTTTGTTGAGGGGGGAAGCCCCAGCAGTGAAAGGGTTCCAGAGAGAATGTAAGGATCAGGTGAGGGGAATCTTGAGTAAGACATCCAGATGGGAAGACTTTGCAAATCTAACTAACAGTCTTGTGGAAATTCTTCCCCATGTTGGGGGCGCCATTTGTAGATGGAGTTTCTTTTCTGCCTGGTCCTGCTGCCCTTAGTCCCAAATAAATACACAGAGACTTATATTATATATATCATAAACAGCTTGACCAATGGTTCAGGCTTCTTATTGGCTAGCTCTCTCTTAATTATTAACCCATATCTATTAATCTGTGTATCTCCATGTGGTTTTGGCTTACCAAAGAATGCCCAGCATCCTAACTTCCTGGTATCTACATGGTGTCTGCCTGGGGGCTTCTCTCTGCCTCACCTTTTCCCAGAATTCTCCTAGTCTGGTAGCCTCGCCTATACTTCCTGCCTGGCTACTGGCCAATCAGCATTTATTCATCAACCAATAAGAGAAATATATATTCACAGCATACAGAAGGACCTCCCCCATCATTCTCCTCTTTTCTGTTCTAATAAAAAGGAAGGTTTTGAATTTAACATAGTAAAAATTATATAAACAAAACAGTTATCATGTAAGAATGATAGTTAACAATATTTAGTCCATTAACATTTGGCAAAATTTAAAGAAAGTATTCAATCATTTATCCTATCTTTTTGAGTCTAGTTTTATATGTAACTTATTTTTTATCATAACTAATGAAAACCATAATCATAACTACCTGTTTTCAACACCATCAAAACCTCAGAAGGATAATATATAAACTCTAGAACTGACAGAGACATCTTGCTACCAGGACAGTCACCCAATTTCCTCTGCAATGTTAGGGCATCCATCTTAGACTTCTCAGTGAAGCAGGAAATTTGAATTGGCAGTTTGTCCGTCATATTTCTATGTGTCCTGCAGAATGTCTGGCAGACACTTCCATGAAGCAGGAACCCTGCAGGACTGTCCCACCACATCTCCAAGCCCACATCATGCTGCTTGATTGCAGCATAGACCAAGGCAGTGAGCACAGCTCTCAGAGCTGGCGGTAAACATACCCCTGCCATCTTGGAAAGACAGCAGCTAAGAAAGCTGCCACTTTAATTTTGGCAGTGTTGTTTAACAGTTAAAAGACTGTGTGGCCAGAATAAGGTAAAGATTTGCAATAAAAACAGGTGAAGAAAAACCTCTAAAGGTTTACAATGTATTTAAAAATATATGTAGGCTTTTGAGAGAAAAAGAAACAGGAGGAAATAGAATAGCTGGGTGTGGTGACACCAGCACTCAGGAGGCAGAGGCAAGCAGATCTCTGTGACTTCAAGGCCAGCCTGGAGTACAGAGTGAATTCAAGGGCAGCCAAAGTTACACAGAGAAACCCTGTCTCATAAAAGGAAAAAATAAAAGTAAAAGAAACAGAGTAATAAAAAAGCCATGTAAAGATGGAAAATACACAGAGAGCCTGAATATTATATGCTATATTGTTGTCTTTAAATTGTTTGATTGCCAAGGAAAGAGTAAAAGCTACTAAAATACACTTAATTATAAATGCTGCTAAATTAATTCAACTTATATATTTTAAAAATGCTTTGACTTCTAAGTTTGACTATAAGGACAGGTTACTTGGGAAAAAGTTTTTGCTTGTGTTTCCACAGAAAATGGAAAGCTATGGATTCCTTCCAGACTAATATGGTTTGATTAAGCAAGACCCCCTGAAGCAATGGCCCAACTGATCCTACATCCAAAACAGCTGAGATGATGCAGCCTTGCAGACTACAAAAACAAGGACTATGGCCATATTTCTGTGTTTTATTATGATCCCATGGTATGGACATCACCCCCAATGAGCAGGAAGCAATTTGGAATGAACAACACCCAAATTCCCAAATATTGTTTATAAATGTTTGCTTTCATTTAAATGGGGTTGGTTATAAATGGTAATGAAAACCCTTCTTTTTATTTTAGACGGTAAAGAGGAGATAATGGGGGAAGTCCTTATGTGTGTATGTCTCTTGTCGTGATCTGGCTTGTCTCAGTTTTAACCCACAACAGCCATGAGGTTTGGCCTGAGTAGACCTGGAAGCTCCCAGCAACCCAATAGCGATAAAGATCAAACACAGGCATCTTGTCATCTTCAGAGAGCTCTCAGTTCCATGTTGTAGAACTAGAGTCATTTCTTTATTAGCCATCTTTTCTGGTGTTTTTTAACCATCCTTCCAACAACACGAGGAAACCATCTTTCTTTGTCCTCTTTCTTCTCTGGTCGCTGGCCCCTCACTCCTAACCTTCCATCCTCACAAGTTACTCACACACCTCTCTCCCCTCTACCCAGGTGAGGGCCTATTCAGATGCTTAGGCACATACAGATGCAAATTAGGAGGCATATTACCCTGAGGCCATAGTTAAATAATAGTAACCCTACTGGCATTTAACAATACAATGGTGACCCGGAGCTTTCCGGCTAGAGACTGGGACCCAAAATATTCCATAACAGAAATATTCGGTCCCCCACAGTCTCTCTTATTGGTTAATAAATAAAGTACTATTGGCCAATAGGGGAGCAAGATAGGTGGGACTAGGAATTGAAGAGGATTCTGGGAAATGTAGTAAAGTCTTGTGATTCAGGCAGGAAGTGCCATAGCAGGCAGACTCAGAATATAAGCAGGGACAAGAAGGAAATCGCTCTCTTCCTCTTCCTCCTGCTCTCTGCTCTGGAGCCACCATGTGATCCCAGGAAGACAGAACACATTCCGTAGGCATCCTCCATAATTATGGTTGATAATTAAGAATGAGCTAGCAGATAAGAAATCCTAATCATTGGCCAATAGCATTGTACCTAATATAAGTCTCTGTGTATTATTTGGGGACCCAAATGGCTGTGGGGCTCTGGCGGCTGGTGGAAAGACTTATCGTTACATACATATAACAAAATTGACCTTTAACTTGAATCAATAAACCAAAATCATGCCAGTGCAAAGTATTCATTTCCATAGCATATTCCCCTTTTAAAAGAAAGAGATTGACTGTGATCATTAACTATTTAAAACCAACCCCATTTAAATGAAAACAAACATTTGTAAACAATTAAGAATGTGGGTATAGTTCTCTCCAAACTGCTTTCTGCTGTCTGGGGATGCTGTCAGTCCAATGGGGATCCTGAGAAAACCCAGAACCCTGGCTGAATCCTGGCTGTAGTGGTCTGTGAGGCTGCATGATCTCAGCTGTTCTGGATGTTGGATCACCTGGGCCACTGCTTCAAGGGGGTCTTGCTTGATCAAACCATATTAGTCTGAAAGGAAATCACAGCTTTTCATCTTCTGTGGATACAAAAATAAAATCTCTTTTCCAAAGTAACAAGTCCTTAGACTTGAATTTTGAAGTCAAAGAATTTTCAAAATATATAGGTTCGATTAATCCAGCACTTATACTCAAATGTCTTTTAGCAGCTGTTGCTCCTTCCTCAACAATCAAACAATTCAAAGACAGCACAATAACATAACAGTATCCAGACTCTCTGTATATTTTCCATCTTTATGTGGCTTTTTAAAATTACTCTATTTCTGTAACTTTTATTTTTTGAGGGAGGGTTTCTGTGTGTATTTTTGGCTGTCCTGGAACTCACTATGTAGACCAGGTTGGTCTTGACATCATAGAGATCTGCCTGCCTCTGCCTCCTGAGTGCTGGGATTAAAGGCATGCTCCACCACCCAGCTACTGTATTTCTTTTTTAAGGACTTTATCCTTTTTCTTTTCTCTCCCAAGCCTATGTATATTTTAAAACACACTGTAAACCCTTTTGAGGTTTTTCTTTATCTGAATCAGTCTTTACTGTATGTATCTATCTTTTTTTGATCATATGAGTCTTATCTGCTAAACAGCATGGCTAAAATTAAAATGGTGGTGGGTCTTGCCCTATTTCTTGGCTTTCTGAGAGTTGCTTATGGTGGAGTACTGGTGAGAGCCATGCTTATTGCCACACCTCTTCGGAGTTTCTAGGTCCATGCCACCACCAAAAAGCATGCTGGCTACTCATAAACATCATGTAATGGTTAGGTATCAGAGCCTCCACCCACTCCCCAAGGATAGTGAGGTCTTCCACAGGGGATCATCAAAGTCTGTCACATCATTTACAGGAGGGCCTAGGCCTTCTTTCCTGTATCTGGGCTGCAATACTATCCCTCCATAGGGAATGGGCTCCCAAAGTTCATTTGTGCACTAGGGATAAAGAATGGCTCCACTGTTAGAGGTCCCATAGACTGCCCAGGCCTCTTAGCTGGCACCCACATTCAGAGGGCTTGGTTTGGTCCAATGCTGGTTCTCCATGCTCTCACTAGTCAGTTGTTTTCTGTGGGTGTCTTCAGCACAGTCTTGGCTCCTTTGCTCATCCCTCCTCCCTCTTAGGAAGCCTCTCTTTGAGAGGCCTCGAGCCACTGCTTGCGTCTAGCAAACAGAGCCCACCTGAGAAAATGCTGCTTCCAAGAAGCAGTGCTTGGTTTTGTTCTTTTGTTTAGAATCCTTTTTAAGCATTTGTCAGGTTTTATGTGGCAATTCTTTCCCCATGTTGGGGATGCCATTTGTAGATGGAGTTTCTTTTCTGCCTGATCCTGCTGCCCTTAGTCCCAAATAAATACACAGAGGCTTGTATTAATTATAAACAGCTTGGCCAATGGCTCAGGCTTCTTCTTCTTCTTCTTTTTTTTTTTTCTTTGAGACAGGGTTTCTCTGTGTATGTAGCTTTGGAGCCTATCCTGGCACTCGCTCTGGAGACCAGGCTGGCCTCGAACT